CCACAGGAAAAAATGAGTTTTTTTTAACATTTTTTGCGATTTTCCAACCGGTTTTTGAATTCTTTTATTTCAAAAAAGATGGCTCAAAATTTTTCTGATACATACAGTTTTGTAGAGCTCGTTGAACTCTATCGAACCATGTAAAAATTTCCAAGAAAAACGTTTTACTCTATTTTTGAATTACTGGCATCTTAATTTTCTACGCCAAAAAAGTATAGAATTTCTGAATTGTTCATGCCTTGACTCTTAAATTGATATTTCGACTTTTTTCTCTACTAAGAGAGAATTTCCGATAAAGGGTTATATATAGAATTGGTTGGTATATCATATTTTGAACAAAAATTAAGATGCACTGAATGGTATACGATACAAAGTAGATCACTATAGTAGATCATTATAGGAAAAATTATGCTTCTAGTAATAGTCGTCTAATGAAGCAATTTGGTTTATAATTTAACATGCTACAAATTGTGATTTATCTATATGTTATACATCAAGTCTCATGTATGAGGCCAAAGAACTTTTGAAAAAATCTTGAGAATCGTGTAAATATGTTCTACAGTTACAATTGGACACCTGTTAAAGATATTCAGCAATAAAAAATCTGTAGAAGAAAATGTTTATAACAATCTAGTAGGAGAGACCTTATCAAAAATTAAAACTTTTGGTTTTCAACATTTGTTTAAATCCATGATAAAATTACTAAATACAGGAAAAAAAATACATACTCACCCAACACATATTTGTTGTTCACCAACAGAAAAAGAAAGAAAAAGTCCTGTTTTTTCCCATGAACGGACCGGGAAACTTTTTCTAGGGAGGATCAATTTCAAAACTGCACTACAAAAGTGCTTTCTTCACTAACTTTTTTCCTTCTGTCATTAAGAAATGGAAGGAGCAAATTTCAGACCTTCCGTCAATGGCTTCTCTTTGTAAACCGCAAATATTTAGAAAAGATTTAAAAATCATTCATACTGGTATTCAGATAAAGTTTCCCTCGTTTGAGTCTCGCCGTATTGATGCCCTCTACTGTCGACTTGGGATGGATTTCTTTGAGCTTCTTAAGTAACACAAATTAATTAATGACTATTTCTGCAACTTTTTCCTATCACAAAATCCTAGCACAAGTGTACTAGAGATCTCTGAACAGTTTTTCCTGAAGTGTCTTGCTTATGGACAGAGTCGTAAAATCCTGCTTGCCAGTGGCAGATCCAGAAATTTTCAACAGTACGAGTGATTTTTAAATAAGCCTTTTAGTATGTAATTGACTTTTTTTTGTGAGAGTGCGTATTATTTCGTACCTGAAAACAAATTTTAAGAAATATACATAAAGTTATTTCGCAAAGCAAGATCACGCATACATATCAAAAAGGTACGAATGGCCGCTCACAGGCTGGGTCCGCCACTGCTGTTTGGTATGCTTGAAACTGCGACATACCTGTGACCTTAGATCAGCTGCTACTGCGTTCTACTCTTAATCAAGATGCAGTGTATTTAATCTACAAAGCTGTCTGTCAGTTCATCACTGATACTCAGCAATATTGACTAACTCCTGTACGTTTCATGACTGTTGCACGCCTCTGCTTGTCTGTTCTCTTTGTCTTATAAAAAGAAGGCGTCTCTCCAGACGTTATGATCTGCGTGTTCTTCTCGTTTTTAGTTATTTCAGGTTTTTTAATGTATCGTTTAAAACAATAACACATACTCTCTTCTCTAGCTGTCTCAATTTTTGTTTTTAAGCTGATCGTTTCTCTTCCATTGTCATTTTGTCTTTTTGTTTCTTTCACTATCTCCTCCTCCTTTTCCTTATTTGGAAAGTCAAAGAATAATGTAATGTAGTCCCTAGATCAGCATTTTAATCTTTGTACTATTCTTCTCTTTCTTACTAATATAAATAAAGTTTATATCCACTGCTTATTTCCCCTGATATTTTTTTCCAGGAGGGACTGACGGCCCTCCAGTAGTTCCTACCTATATCTTACGCGTACACTAGTATAGAAATTTAAAAATGCAATGTCTGCTGGATGCCTTGGAATAAAGTCTTCCATTTACCAAACTAAAATCGTATTCATGTGTCATTTTTATATATTTACCTATACGTGTTTTTTATTCCAATCACTGTTATAGTTGGTATAACTTATTCATTACACTATATATATGTTAAGTGGGTGAGTACAAAGATATTGCTGACAGTTATTAGACCTATTTTTTTTTCTGAAGTCTCTGAAGTCGACTTGATTACTTTTCATCTCGCTTTTTTCACTATTGAAAGAATATCAGTGTTTCATTTTCTGCAAGACTATTTATCGAAAAAGAAAAACAATTAGGTAACTTCGTATTAATAATATTTCTGTGTGAAGACAGAGTTATTCGTTTACGGTCACTTTCTTCCGTTCAACTTGATCAAAAAGAAAAAATTTGATCTTATACTCTTTCCTGTTGTTTGTTTGATTATATTTTATGACGATTGACGATTAACAGTATCAGATTCATGTATGTAGCATTTTACTTCAAATAGATTGATTCCTTTTTTCTATTTACTTAGATTTTTGAAAAAATGACGAAGAAAAAATAGAAATTTTGTCAATATATGTTGAGTATATATATATTTTTATGTTCTGTAACAATCATTGGTACGTGAAGTATACAGAACTGATTCAAACTGTAATAACAGTATAGAAAGACATTATTAAAATTCGGTTACATCGCCAAGAGAAACAGAAAAACGGCAAGTTGTATATAATTCTCTAGAGAATTGATTACGAAATAATGTCAACTAGACTGTATCTGGTATGGACCAGATGCATCAAGGCGAACGATAAATGAGACAGACAATGCACTAATTTTAGTTGGAAAGTTTTTCGAAAATGCAATAAAATTGCTCCTGGATCCTCTCACATTTAAATAATCTCACTTCTTATACGTATTCTTTTTTCTTTCACATGCTGGAGTACATTTTAAGACTTTTATCACTTCATTTTTTTTAAAGAATTTGTAATCATGATCGTTCACCTTTTCAGCTTTAGCAGTTGATTGATAATACACAATAGAACAAAAGAAATGGCACAAGGTCAAGGCAGTGGCGGTATGAGTTTAGGAATGAAATTTATTCGCTTAATCATCTTCTTGTTTAATATCATCTTTTTTCTAATTGGTATCGTACTATTGATAATCGGTATTTACGTGATGGCGGATCCAAAATTACAAAAATTAAGACCAGTTTTGAATATTGATTATGCTAATGTTCAACAAGGTTTATCTTATGTCGAAATATTCGCCATTATTCTCATCGTTATTGGGGGTACTTTGATTTTAATTGGTTTTCTTGGTTGTTGTGGTGCCATTAAATCGTTTAAATTTATGCATATTCTCTATGCATTTATTATCGGTATCGTTATTTTGGCGGAAATTGGTATTACCATTTATTTTGTTTCGTTTCAATCAAAGTTTAAACAGAAGTTAGTGCCGAAACTACAAATGTCTATTACGAACGCCTATGCGGGACCTCCCATCACTCAAGGAGCAAATCCCGGTCCAGTCTCATTATCATGGGATTTTATACAATACAATATGCGATGTTGTGGTGCAGTGAGTAAATTTGATTTCAACAGCACAACAGTTTGGACTCGCGTCAATCCATTCAATTCATCAGCACCTCAACTCGCTTATCCTTTAACATGTTGTCCGATCATGGCTAAAAATAATTGGAATAAATTGCCACTACAAGAACTAAGTCAAGCTCAAACATGTGCCACCTATGATGAGGATAAAGTGTACACACAAGGCTGTTATGACAGTTTGATGACACTAGTTTCGTCTTACAAAAAACATACGATTATTGGAGCCGTTGTCATTTTAGTTGTGGAATTATTGGCATTTATATTTGCCATAATATTATATCGAAGAAAATCCGACTATCACGCATTATAGACGAATATCAATGCGTCATTTTTTTTCCTCCATTACCTAAACAATCCCGGATTGTACATCAAAGTTTATCCAGCTAATTGGTCAACTTTCTTCTTATACAGGTTCTTATACAGGTTCTATCTGTTTATTTTATAATAAAAATCGTGTAAAACATAGTTGTATATCGAGTTAAAGTAAAACATTTCTGATGATAAATTAAGACAATAACATATTTTGTATGCCACCAACAATGTTACCACAATCTCTGGATAATTTCATGCAGTACCATCGGATCGAATCTAGAGAGTAAGAAGTTAGTCGTTGAGAAAAAACAAATCATAAGTGTATAGTCACATACATCTATCCGATTAGTGTCGAGTCGGGGTGGGATAGTTCCGGTTCCTAAGAACTGGTAACAGTTCCCGTTCAAAAGAACTGGACTGGAACTGTCCCAACTCTAGTGTCGAGCATACTGATATTACATTTCTACATGAATACCATTGCGTCCAAATCTGCCCCGCTGGAAAATATGTGAAGGTTTTTTCGGGAATTAAAAACTATTTCCTTGGCAATTTGCAGTTTCCGTTCTTTCAGCGTGAACTATTTTTCAGTTTAAGTTTATTGAAGGAAAACTGCTTTCTGATCTAGCGACAGTCCAATAGAGGTCTGCGAGACCAAACGTTTTTGGTCCCGGTCCTGTGGAAAGAACTCATTTTTGATCCCGGTCCCGTGGTCCAGTAAATATTTTTTCAAAGTAGCGCCCGTAGTTTGAAAGTCAGCGCGTTGTAAATTACAAAGATTTATGTAATACTACTGCAGACACAAGTTCAGAAACATTAACAAAAAAACAAAAACATGAAGAACAGGATGATGATAATAACAGGCAAAAAGATAATGATAGTGATAACGATGAAATGGCAACAACTGCAACACTTGATGATGACTTTTTTTGATAGATAAAAATGAATAGTATTCAACTATGAACTTTCAACAGTAGACATTTTTCCTTTTCTATTGTTTAAGCTAGAAGAAACTTATAGCTTTAGCTGTGTTTACAAAAATTTGAACTTTGAACAAACTGTGTCAGCGCGACACTAATTCAAGCTAATCTGGAAAATAGCACTATGGGATGAGATTATTAACTGAGGACTTTTCGAATTATGTGTGAATTCTTTCTCGCAGAACTACTGCCTACATACAAACAGGCACAGAAACTAAGAAATTTTTATACTTCATACAAGACTATTTTCAAAAAAACCTGGTCCCGGTCCTATTAAAAGTTCCACGGGACTGGGACCATCCCGTAGACCTCTAGGTCCCGGTCCCGTAAAAAAGATTTTTCTGGGTTCCAATCCCGTTAAAAGGCTCGCGGGACCGGGACTGGGACTGTCCCGCAGACCTCTACAGTCCAACAGTTCATATTCATAGGAGCGACCCACTAGTTCTAGTTCCTTCGAACGAGAACTACAATTGTTTTTGATTGAGGGATTGTTGATTGCTTTCGTTCTTAGTGCTCTGTTAGTTTGCTCGCACTTTCAAAATGTTTCTTATATGAATACATAATGAACCAATAGAGCACTGAGAACGAAAGCATCAACAACTCCTCGCTCAAAGACAACTGTAGTTCTTGTTCGAAGGAACTAGGCCTGGTGAGTAGTTCTTCGTTCCTATGAATGTGAACTGTTGGTCCGTTCCTAAACTAGGAACGGAAATTGTTTTCTGAACAGTTTCTGTTCAATAAACTAGAATTAGAAAGTAATTCCCATTATCGAGTAGTGAACAGGCCTACTCACAGGTTCGTGTTCATATTCAGATCATAGTAGAAAAATATGATTAATTTGTAACGATACACTTTAATCCAAAAATGTACAACAAGTCATTTTGCTTAGCTCAGAAAAGAAAACAGAGTATGACGTTATGCTCGTGTAAATCTATAATTAGATTTGCTCGATCTGAAAAAAGGATATAAAATAGTCGACTGATGATCAGACCTTTAATGTAAATGACTCATAATGTCGCTGAGTAAGAGAATGATGTTGTAACGACATTATCGTGAGTATGACATGACACTAAATGACAGCGACAAAATAAGTAAAGACACCATTCTGTTTGGACGGTCTCTCTCTTATACAACAAGAACGATATAATAGTGGTGAACTAAACGTTATATTAATGAATAATAATACCACGGCAAATGCCTGACAGAATACGACTTTAGTTCTGTCCATTTATCGACGTAGAGTAACGATACATGGTAAAATAGCCACGTTCCTCGATTTTTCAAAGAACTGACTAAGGAATGAATTGAAATTCTTGGAAATGTAAAGATCTGAGTTGTTGTGTTTCAATAAAACAAAACGAGTTCTTACTCAGTTCAGTTTTTCAGCTCATTTTAGTTCTTCGAAGCTCAAACAGAATTATTTTTTTATCAAAGCACAAAATTATGCACGCTTCAAGGTCAATCCGTGCCTTGACAATCATTGATAGAATTGATCAAGCCATCGTCTATTCTAAAATATGGCTCGGTCGATCCATCAATCATCTGGTCACTTGTAGGATCACTCGATCGGTTTTGCCATTGTCAAGCATAACATTTTTGCTGTATGCGTAGAGTATAAGAGAAATAATTTAGCCGTATATTCTCATAAGCACAGTACTGATTGCATCGAACACAGAGACCTACAAAGAAAAAAAGCTCAAAACGAGTTTTTCAAAAAAAAATAAAACATAGAAACGAATTTTTCGATCTCGTATCTTCTTTAGAACAAATGATTATATGTAATTTAATCAACGTATTAAACCTCTATTAAAACTAAAACTATTGTTACATAAATTTACAACGAACAACGAGTCATATCTGGTAGTCCCCCCTATCAGTATTTATCTCTCATTAATACTCATCTTTTTTTTCTTCTTCTCTAGAATCAGTTGGGCATAATGAACGTATGGTATATCTCACCACAGATTTACAATGCAAATCAAATATAAATGTTTGCTTGAGGAAATCCAACTTCACCTTAAAGTCATCATTTTGTCCAAATTTATACAGTAGAGTCGAGAAACTTCGTTCTTTGAAGATCTAAAAGCTTTTCGGTGGAAATTAAACGAATGGTGGGTGCATTCCAGCCCAATATTTCTCGTAAAAAGCGGGTAAAAGAGATGGACAGGAAGAGATCTGACATTGCTTTTCTTTTCGTCGACAGAGGACTCTTTGGTTATCATTGAAGAAGACAGTCTGGTGAAGAAGAACAAGGGAAAATTCCAGTATCCTGTCGAAACCTGCCTCTACGTTTAATTATGACTTGTACCATCGTCATTTATTGGACTATTTATCTGACTATGATCCAAAAAAAGACATAAATGTGCATGCGGTGCAAAGGAAACTGTATATCACTACTTATTACTTTGTACTATCTATGATACCGCTCGTCTAACACTATTTGAAGCTATTACTATAGTGAATTTACCTGTTCCTATTACGTTCGATCTACTTCTGCTTAACGAGATACTATGCAGAGAACATTTCGCATTTGTATATCGATGTGTCTTAAACTATATCATCGAATCTAAACGTTTCAACATAAAATCATAGGATCATTTCTGAACATCTGCCACCAACATTTTAATACATTTTTAGTTTTTTGTTTGTTTCGTTTTCTTATTGCTCACTTTGATGGATTTTAACTATATGAATACCTTATCTGTATCTATATAATGATTTGTCCGATTTAGTGTAGATATGGTGAAATACTTTACTTAATAAACAGTTTATACCAACCTGCCTTTTCAAACGTTGCATATTTCGTCTCCATACTCAATTACGCTAAGCTCTCATACAGCTTAACATCGTAACACCAAGTTTTGCAACAAGGCGCTTAAATAGTATATATAATATGCTTCTCTAAAGCCATCGCTAAATTATCGTATAGTCTATGTTATATTCTTGTAGAATCTAAATTACATTGACACGAATTCTAGATTCTGCCATGATAATTTCTTTCAAATATAATCGATCGATACAGCCAGTTATAAAGTAGATGACAAAATTAATTTATTGAAAATCTTGTTGTCATTTTCGATTCTCAATTATTTGCTCTTGCTGCATACATGACACGTGTCATCTTCCTTCTGACTTTTTCATATACCTCAAATAAGACTATTAATCATTTTAAAGTAGATAAAGTGCTGTTCTCAATACAGTCCACTCTTGAATCGATCCATAAATGTTGGTGACTTCAATTTTTTGAATCTTCTAGATCCACTCATATATGCTGATCATCCAACTGGAGAGAGTATATTATATTTTATTTATACCCATTTTAAGAGATCTTGCTCTAAAAGTGGACATATATTGGACCGTGATTGAGAAAAAACAACATTCAACAATTCAACATTAATCTTTATCAGTTTTTAGTTAGTTTAGAATAATACAAAAAATATCGTTTTCGATAACTGTACTACTAATAAAGACATTTTATTTATTAGTTGTTTAGATTACAAATATCCTTGTCGAACATCTAAGTATGAAAGTTTCATACTTTTAATCAAAGTTATTTCTTTGGAGTTTTCAGTTATTAAACATATTTTTATAAAACGTTTTAGACTAAATAAATTATATGCCTAATGTCAGATGACTCTATTAAGCTCTTATCATTTCTTTTACTCACAATATAGCACCCCATTATGCGTCAATGTGAAAAAAAAATAGGAGAGAAATGTGATTCATGTGTACCTGATAATTTTTTTCTTGACAGATGTCGAAACATCTACAACATAAGTAGAAAAGAAGTACGTTTTTTTCTTTTTGTTATTTCTTATATATTATCTCCAGTTAACATTGTTTACCTCAACATCATCGTGTGTCATCTCTAATCTGTTTTAATAATCATTCTTTTAAAAAGTTATATCAAAACAGAGAGTCTAAAGTTATATATATATATAGAGAGAGAAAGTACAGAAAACGAGGAAACATCTTTGCTAGCTTAATTAATATTTATTAAACATCAGTCAAAAAAAAAAATATGGCATTCTCGTGTGGTGTTAAATTTTCTCGAGCACTATTATTTTTCTTAAATTTAATATTTCTAATATTTGGCATAGTCCTTTTGGGTTTTGGTATTTTTATCAAAACTGATAAAGATTTTAAAACTATCTTAACTACATTGTTTAAAACAACAGATGTAGAAGGCTCAGCAATAAGATCTTTGGCATATATTATGATCATCGTTGGTGTTATTACAGTAATAATAGCAGGATTCGGTTTTATGGGTAAGTAGAATAAAGATAAAAATGAAGAAAATCTATTTGTCTTACAATAAGAGTGTTATTGACTCTTTTTTAATTTTAGGTGCATTGTGGAAAAATCGTTGTTTTTTGTATATGTATGCTGTTATTCTTGCCATTTTGATTATTGCCGAATTAGTTGGTTTCATATTGGCTTTCTGGTACAAAGGTAAATTAGAAGAAGTTTATAATAATGATTTACTTGAAGTATTCAACAAAGCATATACTAAAAACGAAACGGATACGCAGAAAGCAATTGAAAGTATAGAAGAGCGATTTAAATGCTGTGGAATTAGTGGTCCCAATGACTATACCAAACTGAATCTAACAGTACCTTCAGCATGTTTCATATGCGGGGGGCCACAAACGTGTACCGGCTGTGCTTCAAAAATTATAGATTTTTTGAAAGATAAATTACCAATATTTGGTGGAATATTGGGTGGATTTTTACTAATTGAAATATTTGGTGTTGTATCAGCGATAAGTCTCGGTGTAGCTATTTCACATTCACCAGACAGATATTCGTCATAGACACAAATTTTCTAGCCATGTTTACAATTTTTGATTTTTACAATAAACCTCAACGAGCAAAGTGAACAAGGAGAATCTATACAAAACCGTGATCTTTATTGAGGCAAAAACCGCTCCTCTTCATTTAAAACTGCGACAGCACATTTAACGGTTATCAGATGCGGCAATTCGAAAGTCAAATATACAAAAATAAAATGTTGCCTTTTTTGTCATGGTTAGATAGAACTGGTCGAGTTACATAAAAAAATGCCATTTTTAAGGTTTTGAAACGATTTTCATATAAAAAAATTTCAAATCAGGTGACATTTAATGAAATTTTTCAAAATTTTCAAAATCTCAATCTTTATCAATCTTTTTAATTTCCAAAACCTGATTCTCCATGTTAAATTGAGTACAGAAAACTGAATTTAATAAAATTAACGTTAAAAGTGATCAAACAATTTCGCAAATACGAGTAGAACAGATGAAAACCCTACCTTGTATCGTGTAAACCAATCAAGCCTTTATAGACTCAAAGAAGAGCATTTCTCTGTTCTAACTTATGGGAAAAAAAAATTACAGGATCATTTTGGATTATCTTTTACCGTTGCTGAGAAATGAATCATTTCCAAACCGGTGTGGGGGGCAACTATTTTCACCAATTTTTTCGCAATACCAAAGACATATTCACAATCTACATCAAAAACTAAGTTGAATGGTGTATGTTTCAGAATTTTTGGAGAACTTTGATTTTTCAACAAAAAGCTCGGGCGAAAATACAAAAAGAAATCGAAGTTCTCCAAAAATTCTGAAACAAACATCATTCTATATAGTAATTTCTTTACGGTTTATTTTCTCTTTTCTCATATATTCTCTATCTGAATCAGTCAGTCTTCTCTCTTGTTCTATCAAATAGCTATATTTAACATTTTTCAAAACCGGAAACGTTTCAAGCAAGTAAACATCCTTTCTTTCCTCAACTACACCAAAAAATTCATCATTTTTGAACAACTCAGTAAATTTTTCTAACTTTGTCGAAATCAAATCATATTGAGCTGGAATTTGTCTTATTTTGAAGCAAAGAAAAACAACTTCTTTCTCATTCAAATAGAGAATGAATTCTAAAATTTTCTTTCTTCCGCTGTGTTAAGTTAAACAAACAGCTTATTTTTTAAGCGCATCTTTGCAAAATCGCCCTTTTTTTACAAAAAAACTACATTTAAAGCGAATATATTAAATACAAAAAAGAAAGAGCATACTTAGGACCACTGGAATATATATCATATCATCAGGAAAAAAAAGTTGGTTTTGAGTTGCTTAAAAGTGCTTTTTTGTATCCAGCACACTCGATAATCCAGAAGATTTTCTATTTTTGGCGAGGGGTACTTCTAAAAGTTTAAAAAGAATTTTGAAACACAAAATGGCACAAAAAGATTTTATGGGAAATTATATTAGTTTGAAAATTCTTTCTAAACTTTTGGAAGTACTCCTCGTCAAAAATAGAAAATTTGTTGGATTATCGTGTGTACTAGATACGAAAAAGCATTTTTCAGCAACTGAAAACTAACTTTACTTTTTTTGTGCCGGTGATATGCTTTGATCTTACGAGGAAAGGACACCAAGTGATAAATCGCTTCTAGCTTAAAACTTAGCGAACAATAGGTAATCGAGTGTGCTGATTCTGAATACTAACATGAGACGGGCCGCTAGACCTCCAAAGACTGGATTTCCAGAAAACCAGTTTTCCAGAAACTCCAAGAACTCTCCAGAACTTTTCTTAATAAGTTAAAATTGTAGCGCGCGAAATTCTGATCACAATGAGACATTGCCCAGCTCTA